TGTACTTGAATGGTGGGAGAAGAGTAAAAAAATCTATTGGCTTTAGTTTTGCTGGCGTTTTTTCCACACACTAAAAAATACTATTCAGATAGCTATTGTTTAAAACAAAATGAGTAAACGCTCTTTAAAACAGCTAAGCTTAATTGAGACATTTGCCAAAAGGCCTAAAACCAATAAGACAAATACTGGTCTCTTTCATCAGACAGATCAGATCCAGCTGCTGCACAGCCTCCTCGCATGGAACGGCTAACATTCAAGGTGTTTTAAACAATTTTATCTGACAGACTGGCATAAATAAGCAGACATCTCCATTCTCACAACGAGTTTCTGAGTTTTCTCACCTTTCTAAAAGAGTTTGTTCCACCGAGGTAATGTGGAAACATGTTCAGTGCTGTTACAAAGTACTTTATAAAGGCCTGTCCAGCTCATTCAAATTATTTGATTAAATGAATTAAATTGTAATTGACTGGCACAACAGGGAAAATAGCTTAAAACAGGCTTCTCTAAAACTGAATATTTTCCTTTAATTTTATTTAGGCTATTATTACTTTATTTGACAATCCAGTTTGTGATTCGGCATTGTTGAAGCATAGTGGATTTGTTTTGAAGCACTTCACCTCAAATGTTATTTGTTCTTTTATTTTATCTAGAAGATAACTGACCAAGAAAACTGAACAAAGAGACAAACTATATACGAAATTCGTTTTAAAAAGATATTGTTTCCTAGAAAAATATACTAATTATATTTTTGTTTGAGCCCGTCCACTACTCTGTGCGGGTGGATGATTTTTGGTCAGTGGAAAGTAAGGATTTAATTTATGCTTCACTAATTGAATTGTATCACAATCTTCTGTCATACATTTGCAAATATCTTAATATGTCATTATTTTAAAGATTAGGTCTTGAGCGTCTGTTTTTTTTCTTAGTGCTGATGTGTTTTTACCACATTTAGATTTCAACGAAATAATACGTTTAAAAAGCAAATGAATTATGTCAACGAATGACTTTAAATAATGTAGCCTTTCACAATAAGTGTGTTTTGACATGATTGGGGGAAGGGTGCGGGGCGGTGCTGGATTTGTGGGTATCTTAGAATAAAATCCTGCAGACGCCCCTGAACTCTTACACTGTCTATAGAGATTAGTAAAAAGGTGAGTAAACCCTTTGCCTTACACCTGATTCACATGGAGCTTCAACGTCAATGCTTGACAGAGGGCGTGTCTGAGGTTGGAGCTGATGCGACCGTCATAGCAGCGTCAGCCAATGAAATTAATCCGCAATCGGCTACTGTCTGAGCTGGGGTATTTGCATAAAGCGATCTTATTGGCTGATGCTTCCGTTGGCGCTTAAAAAGTTGAGAAATTTCCAACTTCTGCAGCGAGCAACGCAGACGGATCCACAATTCAGTTTGGCAACACTTGACGTCACCCATTTAAAGTGATTTGGAAGCAATAAAGCTGATGTGCCGTGTGACTGGGGCATTAAATGGGACCTATATGCCCCTTTTTGCAAGACGTAAAATAAATCTGGTGTCCCTAGTGTGTATTTTAAGTTTCAGCCCAAAATACTACACAAACAATGTTTTATAACTCTAAAGGGGTGATCTCCAACAATATCATATTTTAAACGTTAGTTGATGTGTAATGTAGATGTGTAAACATATCATCTCTGAATGTAATACGCAAGTCTAAAGTTCAATGGAAAGGGAGACATTGGCTTTAACAGAGTTAGCTTAGCAAAGCCTACAGCAAATAAAGTTTGGGGATTACAAAAAAATACATCCGGGTTAATGATGTCATAAACAACAATGAGGTTACGCACATTTACCCTGTGCAGCGAATGAGCATGGCCAGAGGGACTGTAATGTTATAACAGAGATGATTCCTGTTGACATGGAGCTAATCTGCAAATCACAGCACATTATTTTAGCTGACCAATCAGAGCCTCTTGAGGGCGGGCCTTCAGAGGAACTAGGAAATATCACAGCCATTTTCATGTTAGCTGAGTAGCTGTTTACAATCAAAGTAGGATATATGAAAAAGTAACATGGTTTTCTACAAATGAAGCATGAGCACACATTGCTTTGCATCTTGTAAGCACAACCAAGCCTTAAAAACACACCCTGGACCACCCCTTTAAAAACCTTTTTGGCTCTGATCATAATTGTGCCGTTTTGATGATGGTCACTTTAAAGAGCCCATATTATGGGTTTTTGAAAATTCCCCTCCATGTAGTGTTTAACACAGCTCTAAGTGAAGTGAAGTATCCAGCTAAGGCTTAAATCTGTAAGAATACAGTGTTTAAAACGGTTGATTCATCTATAAAAGAGTCGACTCATAGTGCTTCAAACGAGTCGCCTTGATACCGATTCATTAGGTGTTTCGCCATGACGTACGAACGAAACCAAGTTATTTACGTGCACGCGCAAACCCGGGAGTTTTCGAACCTGAGGCCCCGCCCTCTGACGCAGAAACCCAGACACACACACCCACAAACACACGCACACAAACATGCCGGTCGATTGAAGTCACACTGCAGATGGATATTATATTGAGTCTCTACCCAAAGATGAAACCTCAGCATTATAACCAAGCAGTTGGAAACTACTGGAAACTTCAGCAAACTACATGCTACCAAGAATACTTCATCTGCGTTTGTTAAAGGAAGGATCAGTAAAGAGTAACTTACTGCTGGACGTCAGGATGGGTTTCTTCCTCCATTCTCAAGTGTAAGTATGTGTGATTAAAGTTGTTGCCTTGTTGACTCTAGCTTGCAAATGTATTTAGTTGTGATTTGTTACTTGTAACCACGTGTACTGTATCAGGTTAACTGGCTATATTCTGTTATCGCGTGCAAAGTCACGTTAAAAACGCGAAGCGTGCTGCTTGGTTTACGGAGCTCCGTGGACGAGGGTAGTGTGTGTGCGCGTGCGCTGTCGTCCGGAGGTATGTGTGTGTGTTTGTGTGTGTGTCTGTGAAAAGAGCAGAGTGAAACAAGCTAGAAGATCTCCTCGACAGTTTTTGGAGTTTTTGCTCAATAAAATAGTCGTCTGAATTTTTAAGTTCATCGACTGTATTTACATTGACCCACTGGCAGCTAAAATCCACGCCTACACTATCGAGCGTGTATGAACTGTGATTACTTTTATATTGCTGATTAGCTGTTTGGCTTTTCACTCTGACTGAAGGCAGTCGACCAATCGCAACAGACTGTCATTGGTCCAATCAGCGCAGATTAGCTTCGTGTTAAGGAGGGGTTTGGGAACAAATGAATCACTGGACGATTCATACGGGAGTCGCTGGGATAATTAGGTAAAAATAAATGCAGATTAGAAGACCATGAAAGTGTTTTTTGACCTTGCATGCATATTAAACTGTTGTTGGAGACCCTTACAACCAAGATATGACCCTATTTCATGTATAATATGGGCTCTTTAAATTTAAATGAGTTTGTGCTCTCAGCACTCTTTTCAAAGGGTGGAGCTACAAATGCTTGTTCGCCAGCATAGCAGCAGATTCAAAACTAATGGCAGATGGCTGCTTCTCACTCAGGGCTGTTTATGCTAATGCGGTAGATATCATCACTAATGGGCGGGGCTTTCCCTCTCTAATGACACATACAAAGGACGAATGTCAACGTTTTTCTGCAGACTGTTTTTATGAAGTTGATAAAAATATAATTAATACATTTTTATCATTAGATATTATTCACACACTGATGCCACACATCTGTTTAAACCCCTATTAAAGTGATAATAGGTCCCCTTTAAAAGTGATAAGTTGACTTTACTTAAAAGGAGTTAAGTCGACATCTTTTTATAGTTATTTTATTATATATACATAGTTTATTTATTAAATAATTTTAAGGCAAGGGGTTTACTCACTTTTTTAAGCAGTCAATTTACAGTGTGCATATTTGTGTGTGTGGTTTAAGGGAAAGATTAACTAACACAAGCAGAAGACAATAAATAAAGTTTAAGCAAGATAAACTGAGTTTTTGTTATTTTTTGGGTTGTTTTTATTTCAGCAATTTACATTTTTTTTCAGCTAAAATTATTTCTTCTAAAAATCTAATAGCGAGTAAAATGTAACCTTGGATGACCTGAGGGTGGATAAAATAAATCGCATTTTTTATATTTGGGTGAACTAGCCCTTTAACTAAGCGCCTGAACCAGAGCTGAAGTGGCTTTTTTGAAAATACAGAAATATGCATAACCGTCTATTGTTGTCTCCAAACACAAAAATGTAAAAAAAAAAAACAAAAAAAAAAACAATTAGCGATAGATACAGCTGCAAATTAGAAAAGTTAAAAATAAGTAATATATTTTAAAAAAGAGTAAGTTTTCAAGCTGAGTGTTTTTCATATGTTAATTTTAGTAATGCTTTTGTTTTTAGTTAGTTATATTTTATGCAAAAGACTACTTTCTGAGAGTTTCGCAAGACTTTGCCATGGCCTCAATATTCTGGCTCCAAATGATGGTAGATGACAGCTGCCATACTTGGAAAATTTCGCCTTCACTTTTCTTTTTTCAGTCTATTTTCTTTTTAAATACAATAATTTGACTAATTTGTGACTTGTGATCACTGAAGCTGTGTTTGAAAACTTTAACTAGCTAAAATAAAGATACAATTCTCCTATCTAAAAGGGGGAAAAGAACATTCAAAATTCACAAGGATTTTGTCAGCACATGCTGTGTCATGTGAAGATATGACTACAGCAGTTTGCAAACTCTCCAATGTATTAATAGCTGGACACCTCACCGCTATTACACATAACGACGACCCTTTGACATTGAATAGTGGCACATTCAGTTTTTGAATGTCCCTCTTTGCTCGATATAAAACAGCTGAGGTGATGACAGGAAGTCGGACTGTTTGAATGAAGACCATAGTGTTCCCCATTGAGTTATTACATAAGAGGACACCGATGTGCTTTCAACATGGGAATAAAGGAGTTGAACCCTCTCATTGACATTCCACAACAACAAATGCAGCTTTAATAACATTTTGGCATCGTGCTTCATGATTAGGTATCGGAGATCTCTGACAGCACCATCAGCTCACTTATTTATGGCATTTGTTTAAATGAGTTTATGTGAAGGGGCGGTGTTTCCGAGCTATATAAATCTCCTTAAACCTGATTGAGGGCAACACTTTTGCACTCCGGAGTTACACGAGAAGCAAATAGGCAAGTCAGACATCAAATCTAAATTTCTGAAGCAGTTTTAGGGAAAGCCTACCTTACGTATTCAACGCAGAAAATGGACTTCGACTTGCCTCCTTCTGTCCCGGTGAGCGGTATCCCATGGGAAAGGGTTCTCCCGCCGTTATTTCCACGGTTAAACGGGACCATTGGACCTTATTCATGGACGCCGACCGAATTTTTAATCCCCGTTACCGAGCAGACCGGAGCAGCAAAGGTGGAGTAACCTCTTTCTCGTCATAAAATACAAGCATAGGCCTATATATTAACATTTAAACAGCAATACTCGCCTAATTAGGCTACATAAAGATAAAGCCTAAAATAAAACGACGATTGTTTTGATTATTTTAGCTTTTACGTGATGTTTTACGATAATTTTGAAAATTAAAAGTATACATGAAATTGATTAGATAGGCTTTATCTTAATATTTCGTCGTATATAACTATGACCGATTTATAAAGTATTAGTTAACACACAAATAAACAATAATTTAATTTATAAACCCTCAAATTGTCATATTTGTTTCCCTATTTAACCCAAAATGTATTTTGAAATGTAAAATTGATAGTCAATGAAATAAATATGGAAGCGCCGATTTTCAACATTATTAAATTTGTTATTATTATGTATATTATCTTAAATGTAAATTAAACAATACAAATTAGATAAGAAAATGTTATGTAAATATAAAACTTTAAAAGTTTTTATAATGTATTTTTAAAAAAGTACTTAAGATTTTACAAAGATAAATGAATATAATAGCATTTATTTAATTAGGTAAATGTATATAAAACTAATCCAATAAGCAGAAATCTGAAGCATTGAATTGTTCTTCTCTACAGGTTACCTGTGATCACAATGGATTTACAGTGGAAGTTGACGTGAAACACTTTAGTCCTGAGGAACTGCTTGTTAAAGTGTCTGGAGATTATGTTGTGGTTGAAGGAAAACATGAACAAAAAAAGGTAAGACCCCAGCGGCATCTTTATCTGTAACAACAGTAGTTCACCTAATGACTTCTTCACTCAACCTCATTCAAATGCTTATTTTGTGAACAGTGAACACACCAAAATTACCAAAATTCTTCCAAATATCCACTTACAGTCATACAGGTTTGGCACAAGTAGATGACAGATAACAGAATTGTAATTTTTTTGGCTGAATATCCCCTTAACATGCTTTGAGATTATCAGATGTCACCCCTGCTATAAAACACTTTGTTCTGAACATCTGAGACGAGATATTCAAGAGCAAGTCTAAAAAGATGATTCATGTGTTCCTTTAATCCTAGGACGGCTCAGGACTGGTGACGCGTCAGTTTAACAGACGATATCGGATCCCAAATGGAGTCAACATCATGGCTCTGGAATCAGCAATGTCACCTGAAGGAATGCTAGTGATTTCAGCACCTCTGACACAGACAATACCTGAACACTGATCAATCACTCAACACACACAATGTTGGATTTGGTGGTTTATGAGGACTCTTCATAGATGTAAAATATTTCATAGACTATTTTGACCAGTGGTCCTAATGTATTTCTCTTTTCACATTTTTAAATTCCATAGCATAGCTTCCAGGAATCCAAAAAGGCCCACATATTAATAAATAATGTTATGATAGCTGTAATTACATTAACATATGATTGGATTGCCTCCTATTTTGACAACATGCAGGAAATGTTCATAGGCCATGATATCACCATACCTGCAAACACTCTGGTTTTTCCCAGGAGTCTCCCGTATTTCAGACCCATCTCCCGCTTTGTTATGTCTTGGAAAACTCCGCCACCGCCGCCTCCTGCCACTGACCCCACCCAATACCACCCTCCCCTGATCTCCCAGATTTTCAGAGACAAATGTTGGCAGGTATGGATAGATATCACCACATTGAAATGGTCTAGAAGGGGTGTCCAAACTCGGCCCTGGAGGGCCAGTGTCCTGCACAGTTTAGTTCCAACCCCAATCAGACACACATGGGCTAGCTAATCAAGCTCTTACTAGTCTTTCTAGAAACATCCTAACAGGTGTATTGAGGGAAGTTGGAGCTAAACTATGCAGAATAATGGCCCTCCAGGACTAAGTTTGGAGACCCCTGCTCTAGAGTGTAAAAACCACTGATTATAAGGCCTTACCCCACCTCTACCTCTAAACCCAACCCTCACTGGAGATTCGGAATGTGAGTATGTAAAACGCCCCATTAAGTACAATTTTAAACAGTTTTGAAACACAATGCATGTCCTCATAAATCCCCTTGACATTGTAATACCTAGCTCATAGCTATGCCATTATACATTAATAAATGTGTCCTCATAAACCACCAAAACCAACACACACACACACACACACACACATAATTTTAGCTTTTTTTGTTTTAGCTCTTAACGCTAAATGCGAAGCACTTAAAACTCTTGTTGGTTTTCACATTATGCAATAGTAAAGACCAAAGCAGACTTCTCCTCTCACTCCCCCTTGTGGACGAACTACTCAACATTAACTGCTGATTCCATACTTGATTCCAAGCCAGCAAAAAGATTGCATCACATTTTCCTCACCCTTGCAGTTAGTTAAGCGTGCAAAGTTTAGCATTAGCAGGTCTTCTGATCCACAGTCACACAAACTCACAGTCAGACTGAATTTATGATGATTGATATTATTTTGTGTCAGTTTCTTGCACAGATTGTTTGGTTTATCTTGATGGGTTATGATGGGATTGTACATATTTTTAAAACTGAAAGTAAATGTCATTTCCTTTATATAGTATTGGTGTGATGTACAGTTTGAATGTCAATAAATCTAATGTGGAATCTTATTTGCAGAGGTCTTTATTTAGAAATACATTAGAAAACGTTTGAATCTCAAATATAAAACAGCATTAATAAATAGTAGCAAAAATAAACACATGATATCATGTTTGAAAGGTATTATTGCATCTTTGTGACAGCAATTGTGCTCCTCAGAGGTGCTGGAGCATCAGGTCCACCTCACTGCAAAAATAAATATAAAATTAATCAAACAAAAAGTGTGTCTATATATATATATATATATATATATATATATATATATATATATATATATATATATATAATGTATATATATATATATATATATATAATGTATATATATAATGTATAAGCATTAACACACTCATAGCAGTGCGATGTGGGTGTATAGTGTCCCACCAGTGATGATATACAGCCATATTGCACTGCTATTAAGGGTGTCACAATCCTCCAAATCCTCGATTTGATTACATTTTCGATTCTATAGTCACGATTCGATTTTCGATTATGAATAATTAAATAATTAATAACAAATTAATTATCTGTAGCCTACCGTTTAAACTACCTGACTTGCATGGTCTTTGTTTTACCCATAAACAAATTATACAGTAAATGAATAAAAGGTAAGTTACACACATAATTACCACCTGTCAATCACTTTTTTCTGCGGGACTCGTGAATAGGCAGTGATCTGTGTCGTTATAATGGCGTCGGTAAAAAAGGTGCACAACCAACAGGAACCAGCCAACAGTATCTGAAGTGTTCGCTAAAATGACCAAGTACTTGTTTTGAATTGAATTGAACTTGTGTGAAAGTAAAAGATGGAAGCAGTCTACTGACTCGCTGACTGCCTTGACCCGCTGTCTCGAGCGCATGACAATGTGTGTGCATCTGTGTCTGTGTGTGAATGAGTGTGTGTGGTCACGTGATGTGCGTTTTCAGCGGTTGTGATGAAAGAGGGCTGCTCAGAAATGCTACACGCCAGTGTGGATGTGGATCATTGTCGTTCTAAAATGCCATTTAAAAACAAAGACATATTAGTGTAAACAGGGCCTGAGTGTGTATTTTTCATGAGCGGATTTGCAACGGGTGCGGGGCGGAGGGTCGCGATGCGCCCATCGTCTATCATCCCAACCGTAATACGTACATAGCAGAGCTTGCAAACTGTGTTTTTTTGTCGACAACACGAACGTTGTCAACATAACTCACTGGAAATCCAAAATACTTCTACACCGGCGACTTTATTGAAAGAGGAGAGGATTTAAGCTCTGTCGACGGGTCTCCTGCGTCTGCAGTTTAACAAGCACTTCAACAAGCCTGTTTTTTTCCCGCTTGGTAAGCCAAGCTAACGTGACATGGGGGCATGGCAGCATCGACAATTCTATTTTTTGATTTGATAATCGAAGTTGAGCATAAATTTCGATCGATTTCGATTAAAATAGTGATACCCTTAACTGCTATGAGTGTGATATTGTGTTTATACAACTGTTCGATGGCATAATAGTGTATATAAAAAAGAACATCAAGAACAGAGAGTCTTAAAATCCTTTTGTATGAGCAACTTCTTTCTTCCGCCTTTCATTCACATTTGCAGCTGACGGTCAGAGCAGTAGAAACCATTGCTACTTCACAAATGTCACTTTAGAGCTAGTGTTTGAATGATTCCCTAGCGTAATGTCTAAAGAGATGACGAAGCGGGTCATTTTGCTCACATTTTAGGATTATAAGGCTAAGCAGTATGAAATGCCATCAGTCTACAGAGTTTTCCAGTATTTTGCAATCTGAATTTCACAATAATTAAGCCCGAAAATGCCAGAGCAGAGCAAACACTACCAGTTTCTGTGGTGTAAATACAACACTACAAAATATACCAAAGAGAAAGATCGACTCAGAATGTGACTTACCTGATTTATAATATTTTGTTCAGCTGTAGTTTTAAATTTACGCTGAAAAAATGTTGTTTTTCGCCACTAAGGACGTATTATGCAGTCTCTGTTTTCATCTTGTGGTGGAGCATCAACCCTCACTTTCTTTGCTCTGCTCAGATAAGCTAATGGTAGGCAATGCACTGAATCCAATGCTCCAGAATTTTAAATATTTAAAAATAGGCACGATCCTAATAAATAAACATAGTTGCAATCTAAAGAACTCCATTCTCGACTAAAAAAGCCTTAAAGTACATTATGTTCTCCAACTGCGGCAATATTTGTCAAACTGTATAGCAGGGGTCACCAATCTCGGTCCTGGTGGGCCGGTGTCCCTGCAGGGTTTAGCTCCAACTTGCCTCAACACACCTGCCTGGATGTTTTAAGTATACCTAGTAAGACCTTGATTAGCTTGTTCAGGTGTGTTTGATTAGGGTTGGAGCTAAAATCTCCAGGACACCGGCCCTCCAGGAACAAGTTTGGTGACCACTGCTGTATAGTGTCCTCTGCTTGTTGCTGTATGTGGGCGGAGTAATACACAAAGGTGAAGAGGCTATACTAGTGCCGTTATTTGTAGAATATCACATGCCTATTAGCTAATCAGTTTTAAGAACCAGACAGAACTGTTGTATATGTATATCTTGAAGATAAACAGCAGAAATTCTCACCGAAGTTGATCCTTTACCCATTTTCTCTGTTGTCTGAGTACTTGCAATAATGGATCGTCTTCAAACTCCTCCCCATCAGAGTCTGTACATAAAAGTGCAATAATATAAGGAATTAAAAAAAAATATGCATATTACACACTTAAAATAAAATATCAAACAATATTTTCCAATATACACTGAACAGAGACGAGGCATTCCAAAAAGTCTAATTAATCCATTCAAGTTAATACACTTAAAAAACTGTTAATTTTAGTAATCTTTAAATCAAAGTCTGATTATTTTCTTTCACGTTTGGAATGGTGGTCCTTCTCTGATGACATAAATTTGACAGCTTCAGCCACAATATGGACCCTTTTCACATTTTTGGGTTTCTCAGTAGCAGAAGTCATCATTGTTGGGTAAACTTGTGAATGCAGTAAATGGGAGAGTACAACAAATCATTTTTTTACAATCCATTTGCTGAAATAATGAAAACTCCACTATGGTGTTATTAAGACTTTCAGAAAAAAATGTGTCAGACAACAGCAAATATGATGACTATGATAACTAAAGCCTGATTTATACTTCTGCGACAAGTGACCGGCGTAACCCACAAAACAAAACTTTCCATCCGGAGCTCCTTCACGGGACTCCACACTTGTAAACACTCGCTCGCGCCATTTGCGCGGCTCTCGGTCCCGCCCAGACTCGTCAGCGATACCAAGCCGACCAATCACAGAGCTTATGCTACGCGTCGTTGCGACGTGTAGGTACATTTTTTGAGAGGTGCACGTCAGTGACGACGACGGCCACGGCGAAGGGCTATGCGTCAGCGCCGTAGCATACGCCGGCGTTTGACGCAGAAGTATAAATCAGCCTTAACACGTCATGATGTGTTGTGAAAAGGTTCTATTCTAAACCATGTCCCTCTTACCCCCTCTCTTTTATGCTGCGTTCCACTCCACTTTTAGATACACACTTGTGAACTTCCCTTCCCTTTTTTTCTCAGGGGAATCCCTGCCACAAGTGCGTTAGACTTCATCAAGTGAAAGAGGGAAGCTTACATGCACATACCCTCTACTTCGACCGAGGGAATGAGTCGGCTTTATATGTCCACTCCAGCACCTATATGTCCCAGAATGCAATGTGACTGTGACATCACAACAGCATAATTTTCAAGTGCTAAAGTTTAGGGCATTACATTTAAATCCATTTAGATATTCCACCTCTAGTGGACACTTGTTTAATATAATCGATCAGGATAAGGAGGGAAGTTAGTGAGTGAACTGGATACAAAATTAGGCTGGAATGCAGCCCTAGACAAGAAAATGATTGACAAAAGGAAAACCCTGCCCCCTACTCAATACTCTATTTCAGTTGGAAGAACATCAACATGCTGAAATAAAGTTAAAGCTAATTCCTGTAAACGCAGACTTAAATAAATGTACAAAAGCTAAAGCTATAAAAAAAGCATATTAAATGCAAGTAGTGTTGATGTTCATGTTCAAGTAACTTGTGAAAATAAATTTGCTTTATTTCAAAATTAAGGAACTTCTTGCTGATAAATAAAATGTAGATGTTTGAAGGATAATTCAAATGCAACATCAATTAGTATTTTGAATATTAATACTTTTAATATGTAAATCAAATGATTATTGTTCAAAATATGCCAGACAAGATATTTGTGGTATAGTTTTACAGTTGCTCATTAAGAAGTGCACGAGGTGGTCTTGCCTTCTGCGTCCTGCATGAGTTGATCTATGACCTGCACGGATTGCTGCACACCGGAACAAGAGACCGCTGGGGATTGTGGGGGTGGAGGTGGTGTGTATGCTTGAGAATCTGAAGAACTTGGAGTCTTGCATTGTGTTGGAGAATCTGAACCGGCAAACAGCACCTCAGAGACTGCCTGTCAAGGAGAAGCATTTTGTTATTTTTTCTTTATCGGATTTACATATAAAGCATAAATATAAGAGATTCACTTACCTTAAACAGGCTATAAATATGTAAATGTTCATATAGAACAGATATTTAAAATCATTTGTTCTAATAGCAGTTGGGTTCATTAACCAGCTCTAATACAGGGGTGCAAAACTCGGTCCTCGATGGCCAGTGTCCTGCAGGGTTTAGCTCCAACTTACCTTAACAGACCTGCTAGGAAGCTTCTAGTATAAGTAGTAGAGCTTGATTAGCTGGTTCAAGTGTGTTAGGGCTCTAATTCTGTAGGGCACTGTCCACCCTAGGACCAAGGCTGCGTCCGAAATCGCCTACTATACAGTAGGTACTGCATTTGAATTTAAATCTGCTACTCGACACCTAGAAAAGTACGTTCTATACAGTATGAATGTGAGAAGTATGAATGGAACTCAGACATGCTACATCCACCATTTTGTCATGATCACGTGACCTACTCACATCAGTTGCGTCGCTTAACTCCAAATAAAAAAATTTTCTCGCAGGGCATCATGGGATAGCGTTGTGTGCATTGAATGCACACTTTAAAATCTCGCCTAAAGTAGTAGGTCATCCGGCTACTTCTCACATGCTGTTTTTTTGAATTGTATAAATTCAGACATACTACTCAGCTCACTCGATTTCGGACGCAGTCCAAGAGGCCAGCCCTGCTCTAACAAGTCATATTTTTAATCTAACTTAGCACCCCTGTGTTCATGGGCATAAATGCTGTATAAAAGGTTAGAGCAGTGGTTCGCAAACTGTGGTACGTGTACCACTAGTGGTACACAGGCTTTTTTCTAGTGGTACGCGGAGGAATTAAATATGTGATGTACATGCTACACACATTTCAAAATTTATCAAAAATGATGTACATAATAAGCCATATATGACATATAGCCTATATTTCTAAGGTAATCTGCCACATTTTTTAACTGTGCAGAGTTGTAGCTGCTTTACGGGGCCTACTACGCTACTATATTTCAATACTGCTCATTTTGGTGGTACTTGAAGAGACAATTTTTTTCTGAGGTGGTACTTGATGAAAAAAATTTGAGAACCACTGGGTTAGAGCATACAGAACAGCAACACACTTAAACAGACTTCTGTATATTGTAAGTCTTAGGCCCCTTGTTCTCAGAGAAAAATAAGGTAAAGGATTCTGTTCTTGTGTTTGTTTTATTCACCTTTTTCACTGGATTTATTTTGCCTATTTGAGGACCGTTAGGGAGACGCGAGATTACCGGGAGATCATCACTCGTTTGCGGGCATCCGGAGACTCGTGAAACTTCCCACCATACTCATAATTCTCCCTTCATATAGCCGTATGCCTATTACATATCCATAAAACACAGTGATATAACCGCGCTCGTATCGGATCACTTTCTCACTGCTATCGAACCGCTCCAGGGTTAGTTTCAATCGAGCCGAGACCACCTCATTCAAGCGACCTCGGAGCGATTACTTTGGCGCGGAACAGAGCACGATTGCCCTGTTCACATATGCCAAACGAACCGCGCTAACTGGGCAAACGAGACAGGTTCCGAAACAAAAGTGTAGGTGTGAAAGCACCCTAAGAATATGTCAACTCAATTTTGACAAAAAAGTCAGACAGGACCTTATCCACCTTATAATTGTAAGGTGATGATATTTTGGCTGGTAGTTTTATGTCCTTCTCTATATTTGTGTTAAATGTTAATGTCTCAGTTTGTGTTGTGTCGGCTATAACGGTGTACCAAATTGCATCTTAGGGACATTAAAGAGATTTCAATCTAATTCAATCCATTTCCCATTCCATTTAGCAATATTTTATTAGCAAATTGGCAGATAACGTTTTTTTCCCTTACTCTTTTTTATTTTTAAAATATATTTTCTACATTAGATTGTGAAATGTCTAAACATAAAAGTAAAAACATAATCAGCTGACTTTAGCTATACTACATAAAAACATACCTGCATAAAATGAAATCAGGCTGAACAAAAATGCAAATTCACTCTCTGCCTGTAGAAGTCACTAATAAAACAGCAGGATTTCTTGGATAAAAATAACAAAGCTTTTACATTACAATACATTTACATTACAAAACAATTTAAAAAGAACCATCTAAACCTTTCTACGATGATAATTCCATAATTAATGAATACCTTCATTACACCTCAGATTTTTCCAGTATTTTATGCATCTCAAATGAGCTGCTCTGTTAAAAGACGCCATTTTATGTAGCTTCCAAATACTCCTCACACAAGTTAAAATCAAAAGATGCACAAGCATCCTGAATAAAGCTTGTGTGTAATAAGTTGTTATATTGAGTGTATATTTACTCCAGCTTTAGATAGATTTTTACAGATAAAAAAAGAAATGTATAATAATAATTATTTCTTACCTTTTGAAATATAAAACTATTAGCAAAAACCCCAAAATAAAGTACTGCATAACAAAAACTGCCCAAGCACAGCACAGTCCAATTTATGGCAGGTTACACCTCTAATATAAATGCTATGTATTGATACAATGTAATAAGGAATTTAATGAAACGTTCATATTCTCAGGGTTATGAAACAAACCTGTCCCAGAGCGTTGTGTATAGGTGAGGGTGGCGGTGCTCGGTTTCCTCCTCGTGCTGAACTTTGACACTCTTCCTGCCACCTGCTTTTTCCACTTGGCTTCTCCGGATTGCGAGTGACCCCTTCATGACCCCTGGAATGTCTGACTCTCACTGGGCTTCTGCCTGCCTCGCTAGCATGACTAGAAAAGAAAAAATAGAATTTGCAATGGCTTAATATTAAAAATAAATAAGATTGTTTGTTTTGACAATTATTATGGTCAAATGTGCCAATTTATGGACGCAATTTTTTGCATTATCAAAGTTTAACACTATGTTTTTGAGGTAAATGAGATAGTAGTAGTAACATTAAAATAAAATAAATAATTAATACAATAAATAATACACATTTAATTGATATAGGATGACAAGTCTTTTGACCATTTTTATGACGTAATATACCTTTTTTTTTTTTACTATTTAATGTTTTAAAACAGTTTTACACCTGATTATTATTTTCTATGGAAAATGTGATATGCTACAATTCAAAAGTTTCGGTTAAGTAAAATTAAAATAAAATAAACAAATAAATATTTAATTAATAAGAATAAAATAAATGCATTCATTTTCTTTTCGGTTTAGTTCCTTTATTAATCAGGGGTTGCCACGGCAGAATGAACTGCTAACTTATCCAACATATGTTTTACGCAGCAGATGCCCTTCCAGCCGCAACCCATCCCTGGCAAATACTTTTTAAAAATTATATAATTATATATTTAATTGATATAGAATGACAAATATTACTTTTATGTTACAAAAGTTTCAAATCGAGCAGCATAGTGGCTCAGTGGTTCACCTCACAGCAAGAAGGTCAGTGGTTCGAGTTTCGGCTAGGTCAGTTGGCATATCTTTGTGGAGTTTGCATGTTCTCCCTGTGTTTGCGTGGGTTTCCTCCGGGTGCTCCAGTTTCCCCCACAGTCCAAAGACATGCGCTATAGGTGAATTGAATGAACTAAATTGGCCTCAGTGTATGAGTGTGTGTGTGTGTGTGTGTGTGTGTGTGACTGTGAGAATGTATTAGTGTTTCCCAGTACTGGGTTGCTACTGGAAAGTCTGTGTAAAACATATGCTGGATAAGTTGGCGGTTCATTCCGCAGTGGCGACCACTGATGAATAAAGGAACTAAGCTGAAGGAAAATGAATAAATGAAGTTTCAAATCTATTTTACAATTTTTGACCACAAAAATATACTTACTGCCAGGGCCATTTATAGCCATAACATATTGGTGTTTCGTAACATCTAGTTTTTTTTTTTTAATGAAATGAGTTGTTAGCCCAACACTCAACCCCCAATCTGGAGGACCAGGACATACACACCTACACTAGACTAGACAATTTAGCTTACCCAATTCACCTATATTGCATGTGTTTGGACTGGGGGGGAAACCTCAGCACCCAGAGGAAACCCACATGAACATAGTATGAGTATGAGTGTGAGAGTGTATGGGCGTTTCCCAGTACAGCACTGCAGCTGGAAAGACATCCACTGTGTAAAACATATAGTGGATAAGTTGGTGGTTCATTCCGCTGTGGCGACCCCTGATAAATAAAGGGACTAAGCCGAAGGAAAATGAATGAATAAGTGATATAAGCTGAATTATTAAATAGATATACTATATAGATAATGAATAGATAAAATGGTACAAATTAATTCCATCTGTAAACATACATTGTGCAGATGAAAAAATAATAGTGTCAAGAGATGAATTGATTAATAAGCGATGGATAGACTCCACACAGAAATGCCGTTAGGGTATATGCTGAAGTATGATAAAGAACTTTTAATTTGCCAGTAACCTGGGTTAAGCACTTATGCCATTGTAAAATCGGCGCGTTTAAGGTCTGTTTTCTTTAAAATTTGCGGTCTCCACTGGCTGAGTAATATCTGATATAAAGTGGATCTCAGATTGTACAAAAAACACTGCATTATATTACATTTTCCCTGCCATGTCTTTAAAATATGAGCATTTATTTTACCCCAATATATTCAATAGAGTTTCTGCACTAGCCTGCCGATCCTGACAGGCGTGTGCAAATAAACGACTTTTTTGTTTACGTTTATGAAAACGAACTAAATGAATGCTGATGTCTATTTAACTAATTGTATTTTAACGATATTACAACATAGATGCTGTACAAGGAACCGGTATAAAATGGAAAAAAAGTCACATTAACCATTCACCGGAAGTTTATCAGTATGGAAAGAAACACTAGCTCTGCATATACCCTACTGACCCAGCCAAATAAAATTGTAAAAAATTATTTCTGACCACAAAAATAAAAATTATAAACTAGCAAAACTATTGCTCTAATAACAGTAAAAATAATAATAACAACAATTAAATATAGTTGAAGTGAGAATTATTAGCCCCCCCCCTGAATTTATTATTATTATTTTTATATTTCCAAAATGACGTTTAACAGAGCAAGGATATTTTCACAGTATGTCTGATAATATTTTTTCCTCAGGAGAAAGTCTTATTTGTTTTATTTCGGCTAGAATAAAAGCAGTTTTTATTTTTTTAAACACCATTTTAAGGTCAAAATTATCAGCCCCTTTAAGCTAAATTTTCAATTTTTAGTCTATAGAACAAACTAGCATTATACAATAACCTGCCCATTTACCCTAACCTGCCTAGTTAAACTAATTAACCTAGTTAAGCATTTAAATGTCACTTTAAGCTGTATAGAAAAGTCTTAAAATTATCTAGTCAAATATTATTTACTGTCATCATGGCAAAGATTAAATAAATCAGTTATTAGAGATGAGTTATTAAAACTGCTATGTTTAAAAATGTGTTGAAAAAAATCTTCTCTCTGTTAAACAGAAATTGGGGAAAAAAATTAACAGGGGGCTAATAATTCAGCGGGGCTAATAATTCTGACTTCAACTGTATATGTAAGGACCAAGAAAACAGCACTAAATCATTATATTGGACACTACAGGAGTAATGGCTGAAGAATATCAAACTTTGACAATGGAGGACTAAATTATATTTGGAAATATAAACTCCAATACGGGGCAACAAGGTGGTTAGCACTGTCACCCTACAGCAATAAGGTCACTGGTTCGAGTTTCTGTGTGGAGTTTGCATGCTCTCACCATGTTGGCGTGGGTTTCCACCGGGTGCTCCGGTTTCCCCCACAGTCCAAAGACATGTGGTACAGGTGAATGGAATAAGCTAAATTGGCCGTAGTGTATGAGTGAGTGAATAAGGGAGTGTATGGGTATTTCCCAGTACTGGGTTGCAGCTAGAAAGGCATCCGCTGTGTAAAACATATGCTGGGTAAGGTGACGGTTTATTCCGATGTGGCAACCCCTGATGAATAAAGGGACTAAGTCGAAGGAAATTGAAGGAATGAATTAAAATAGAAAACTAAGTTAATCTAAACCACAGGTGTCAAACTCAGTTCCAAAAGGGCCGCAGCTCTGCACAGTTTAGTTCCCACCCTAATTAAACACACCTGATCAAACTAATTGAGTCCTTCAGGCTTGTTTGAAACCTACAGGTAAGTGTGTTGAAACAGGGTTGGAACTAAACTGTGCAGGGCTTCGGCCCTCCAGGAATTGAGTTTGACACCCCTGATCTAAACAATGTTCTACAATATAGCTGTTTTTATAGAAAATAAAATAATCTAAACCTTTCAGCAGTAATACAAAGTACCGTTCTGATTTCTTCTTTTGGCTTGAAGGTGCATTCTTCTTCTTCTCTCGTCTCTCATGTTCAGTCTTTCTTTTGCCTGCAGTCTCCTTCTTCTCCTTCAGGTTTGGCCAGTGCTCCTCTGTGCTGTCAGATGTTTGTGGAGATGGAGAAGATGATCTCTGTGATCTCTGTGTGCGCTGCTCTGCTGTGCTTTCTGGGATGCTGGTTCGTGGTCTGATTTGTTTGCGGTGTTGTTGTTGCTGTGATTGGGAATAAGGAGATTCCAGATTGTTTGTGACAGTTCTACTGGAGTGCTGGCGAAGGGCTTTGGGATGGACGTCGAGGTCTGGTTGCTCTCGAATGACATCAGGCTGGAGTCTGGAGACGCTGGGGCTTGAAATAGGGAGAGTAGTTTCAAGGACTGGAGGATCGAGGCTAACGGAGGTGACTGGTGTGAAGGAGAGGTTTGCTGTCTGATGAGGCGAGCTGTTTAATGTGCTTTGCTTCTGAAAGGAAACAAGAACAGTGTATTCAGTACAAATCTTAACAGAGCAAGCACATCTAAAAAACCTAAACTAGTGGATAATGGGTTCTCTGCATCTTATTCAGAGAGAACAAACAAAGTTAAAAGCAAATGATTAATAATTTTTTTTTTTTTACATGTTTTTTATTTACCTTAAGGCAGTTTATCTGATGAAATGTTATAATGGTGCTATTTACATTTTAACAAAGAACTACAATAGCCAAAAGTATTCTTAAACTCTTGTCAGTTGACTTTTGGGTACATAAAAACAAATATATATATAATATATTCTTATATGTTCCTGGATCAACATCATACATCCAAAAATGCATTGTTGATCCTAGCCTTACCCTTAACCAGTGGTCTCAAACTCAATTTCTGAAGGGCCACAGCTCTGCACAGTTTATCTTCAACCACCTCCAACTCACACCTGCTTAATAGTCTCTAGTAGTCTTGAACAGCTTGATTAGTTGATTAGAGCTGTGGTAGATTAGGGTTGGAGCAAATCTGTGCAGAGCTGCAGCCCTCCAGGAATTGCGTTTGAGACCTATGATCTAAACCAGGGGTGCCCAACCCTGTTCCTGGAGATCTACCTTCCTGCAGATTTCAGTTGCAACCCATATCAAGTGCTACTTAATCGGTTCAGGTGTATTTGATTAGGGTTGGAGCTGCGAAAAATGCGAAATTCTGTTGTGCGGTGCTGCAAAAAGGGGTGGGATTAAACAAGGTAATTACACATTAAAAAAAGCGAGCGATTGGTCTTTATTTTAAATTCCTGGTTAGAGAGGTCAAGTTTTGATTTTTCTTCGACTGGTCTCACGCAATCATGTGATGCAATTTTACAGGTCAGAGTTTACCAAGCTTAAACTTTCCAACGCAGCGAACTGCGAAACTTGTCGCACAAGCATGCGTTTCTGGTCTGACACATTCGCATGGTTATGAATGGAAGTCTATGGGGAGAAAAGTGTAGTGTGAATCGCAGCTTCAGTAGGAAGGTAGATCTTCAGGGCTTTCCTGCCCTTAACCAAACCCCAACCCTAGCTTACCCCTAAAATCAGATGGAAATTATGGGCGAATAAGATCATGGTTTTTATTATACCTCTTCCAAAGTCATATTTAAGTAACTTTCCAGGTGCATTTTCAAACTTTTCCAGTACTTTAAAGTGTTAAATTACATGTTTACATACACACATACTTCGTGGCATTATACTAGATACTATTTGTTAGAATGCTATAGTAATACATACTATAAGAAAAGTGATGTTTTGATGAACTTTTTGTCTCTTAAATGTCATTTACTTACATTTTAAATGTGTCACCTTTCATCTTATATACATATCTATATTACTTTGATGCATTATTCATTAATAAAGTGATAATCTCCATGAATTTTGTCTTTACCTACGGTTTAAGCAAAAAAAAAAAAAAAAAAACTCAGACTCCAGCATTTACATTAAAAAAAAATATTATTCATTCATTTTCTTTTTGGCTTAGTCCCTTTATTAATACGGGGTCGCCACAGAGGAATGAACCGCCATCTTATCCAGCATTTTTTTAATCAGCGGATGCCCTTCCAGTAACCCATCTCTGGGAAAAATCCACACAAATACATATACTACGGACAATTTAGCTCACCCAATTCACCTGTATTTGGACTGTGGGGGAAACTGGAGCACATGGAGGAAACCCACGCGAACGCAGGGAGAACATGCAAACTCCACACAGAAACGCCAACTGACCCAGCCGAGGCTCGAACCAGTGATTTTCTTGCTGTGAGGCGACAGCAATACATACTGCGCCACCTTTTTAAAAAAAAATACTAAAATTATACTTATTATTTAAAAATATTTTATTATATTTTATTTATTATAAACAAATATAATTTAAGCATTTTTATGGATTTCCAGATTTATAAAGTGCTTAAAAATGATCTTTATTATTTTTTAAAGTAAAAAACTATTTTCTATTTAGTAACATTATGGCAGAAACAAATTACAATTGTATTTTCAAGCAGTTTCAAGCACTTGATCAAAAATCTAAGCAAAATGTAAGCATTTGTAAGGATTTCCAGCACCTGTACACTCCCAGTAATCTGTACAAGCTTCTAACCCTTGTTTTACGCCTTGGCATATCTGACTGATTGTTTTTTATTAGGTACAAATGTATTATGTCTTCAAATAATTTATAATCTTACTGCATATTTAATTTGAAGCCAGAACATTGATTTATTTCAATATGTTGTCTGTGTTATTTATTGTTTGTTTATCCAGAACAAATCTAAAGAGGTTTTCCTGGTAAAATAAAGATTTAAATAAATAAATAAAAACGATTTAATGTTGTTGCATTATTGTGGAATTGGTTCACCTTGTTTGGTCCTGCAGTTTGTGACAGAGGTAAATGGAGAACAGAATTGTAAAAAGGGGCCTCCAGACACCGCTGTCTAGCCTGTTCCATCTTCCTTCTCAAACGCCACTGAAACAGGATGTCATCTTCACGGCGGACACCAGACCCTTCAGAACCCACTGCTGGAGGAATAGGCATCCCTTCACACAAACCGGCCTCTAAAACCACTAAGACAGAAACAAACACATAATAAACTCTAACACGCATTCATTAACCAAATGTAACCACACAACAACACAATAACTGCAATTGTTTTACGCACTTCTTCTTTTCACAGCATTTGTGGTTAAACATGTGGGTGCATGTAAATCTGATAAGGATGTGTTTTTGAATTTGCACACAAACAGATGAAAAGGTTAAAATAGCATGTGGCATGTTACAAAATGTGCACTAAATTATGTAGATTGTGCTTTTATGTAACTTCTGCTACTCACGGTGGTTTGAAGGCATTAAGGTGGACAGGACTGGTCTTCTGAGTGGCTCATCTGTGCTGACGGGTGAGGAGAAATCAGAGCAGCCCAGACCCTCAGAGCTGATAGGCACAGAGACACTGCTGAGAGAATGCTCACTGTAAACACAAGAATAAAACTCATTGAAATATTCTGAGTTAATGATGCTGAGGTCGACTGTAACTGCAGTTTGGAACTTTCACTTTCATTCAAGAACATTTCATGCATGCCCCCCGTGACAAATAAGATATTAGATGTGAGGAACTGCTGGAAGAATGTAGTTTTAATGGAATTTGATAGCACACGTATGGGGAAAAAACCTCCTCATTCCACGATGCAGGTGTCTGTGGTCCTTCACTGACTTGGTCGGTGCAGAGAATAGTGTCAAACAGCCATGTGTATAGACTATCCTGAAGCAAAATGCGGTGAAAATTCTACACGATGGTAATAGTTTGATTGCAGTGCTTACATGTCTGTACTGCACATCAATAATGCCACTAAAATCAGTATACTACACATATCTTAATTTCATTTCTGTTTAGTTCTATTATGACTTTAGTCAGATTAAAGTAATCAAAGTTTGCTGTTTACATGGTAGACTCTTAATCAGAGTATTGTCTTAATCGTATTAAAATCTGATTATAGGGTATATGAGCTAGTGTTGTTCCCATACTGATAAACTTTCGGTTTATTGTGAACTTTTTTCCATTTTCTACGGTTCCTTTAACAGCATCGATGTTATAATGTCATTAAAATACATTCAGTTGAAAAAACTTTGGCATTCGTTTAGTTGCTCAAGCTTAAAACGAGACAAAAAGCCGTTTAATTGCACGCGCCAGTCAGAATTGGCAGGCTAGCGCAGAAGCTCCATTGAATATACTGTGGTAAAATAAATGCTCATTAAATGCAAGACATGGCGGGGGATAATGTAATTTATTGCAGTGCTTCTTGAACAATCTGAGAGCCACCTTATATCGGTTATCACTCAGCTAGTGGAGATTACTGAATTTTAAAGAAAACAGACCATAAATGCGCCGGGTTTTGCATTGGCATACAGTTCGCAAGGAGCGCTTAACCCAGGTTACTGGCAAATTAAAAGTCCCATTAGCATGCTTCGGCATGTACCCTATTAGTGTGCATGTAAACATGCTCAGTGTGTCCCAATATTTAGTAAACCAATTTATTTATTATGCATGCATTTGTATGTGTGTTAAAAGTTCAATTACAATTACCAATATTATTTAATTTTATTATAATTTAATAAATGCTTTAAGTTTATGAAAAGTTGTAGATAAAATGTATTACTATTATTATCACTGCTATTAGTTTTATTCATTTCAATAAAATAATAATTTATGACAGAAATAATTATATATTAAAATATATTTGAAGATAAAAATAGTTTAAAACTTTTTTAGTGGAATTGTACTAATATTTCCCATTATCACACATATTACCAGTATTTTTGATTGTAGCTTTGGTGATGATCATATGACAACCTTTCTTATTATTAGCATCAATGTCCAAAACTCCCCTGTGGACTTTCACACTTGAACATTCAGTACTGACACTCATGCTGGAAACAGATCACGTTGTTGGTCATTTATCATAGTGAAATGTCATTTCCCCTCATGAGTGAGTGTGTGTTTACAGGATCTCACCTCCTCTGCAGTAAACGGCTGGCTCGCTCCTGTAGCTGCAGTATCTCTGGTTCTTCTTGATCACAGTGCGATGATTCACATAATTCACTCTGGAAATAAATGTGTGGTGGAGATCTATCAGTTTACTAGCAATTTTAATAGTATGACCAGTGATAGCGGTCAGTTTTCTGTATGTGCTTTAGGGCTGCACGATATTGGAAAAATCTAATATTGCTATATATTTTTTTGTTTGTGATATATATTGCAATATTTCACCAGATGACTTAATATTGAAAAAAAATTATAATGTTAGATCGATTAGGATGATTCTGCAGTGGGAGTGCATCTCCATAAAATCTAATAATCTATACAATTTTTGGGGTCTCCCAACACATTTTCGTTGTCGTCTGTGCTACTTGCAGTGCATTTCTGTATTTGCATATGTTGTGAGTATTTTCATGCACTAGTTTAGTCAGAGATTCATGACTTAATGTTTTCTATTTGCATCTCCACAAAATCTAATGAGCAATCTATAAACTTTTTGTGGTTCCCCGACTCATTGTCGTTGAGGTTTGTGCTATTTGCAGTGCATTTCTGTATTTGCATGTGTTGTGAGTATTTTAATGCATAATCTCTAAATACAATCAAGAAAAAGATACAATTGAAATAAAGTGTTTTATCATTTCAAGAGTCCAATGATCTTCAAATACAGTGACTGAATGATAAAAATAAATTTAATTCAATAAAATAATCATAGGTATGGTCAAAAAAAGGGTAGAATTTCTTATACCTGAATGTTTTAAAAGTCATTATGCAATTACAGGCATCAAAAACACATGCAAGTGATAAATTATAATACAAACTTAACGTTGCATATTCTGTGATGTGACTATTGCGAATGATCACATTGCGATATCGATGCTAAACGATATATTGTGCAACCCTAACGTGCATGGCTTTATGACCAGTCTTGACATTTAAGGCCAAGCAGGGATAGTTTTCACCAGTCATATGAATCTGAGCCAAGGGTTGCATAACAATTTACGAAGACATAATATCTGATGTTTAGCAGACATTGTTTGATATCAGGTGGTCTAATTATGTTTGAGAGTTCTTTTTCTTTTAATGCAAAGCCATTTCCATTAATATAACAACATTAAAGTTATTCAAAGGAAAGCATTGCAATACTGTCCCTGCTCTTGTCTGAACACTATCACTTTATAATGCTAACACTCTTATCAATTCTCTGTTCTGTCTTCTTTTGTATATTTATATAAAAATTACTTTAATCTAGTAACATTAACAAAGCCTTTTGAATGATTTATTTATCCTCTTTACAAAAAACAAGCCAAATTTCACATTCTAATGAACTCTCTTTCTCCATAAATACAATAAAAATTGCAAACTGTTTCATTTAACTAGGAATGAGCACATTATTGACATATTTTTCGTTCTTTGTTGCTTTGATAACTTCTAATTCTTTCTAATATTTGGTAGTTGCTTTGAATAGAAGTGTCTGTCAAATGATTTGCATGTAAATTACCAGAGCAAGAAATCAGGTCAAGTAAAGTTTAGGTTTACATTAGCTTGTGATTAGCTCTTTAGTCGATTTGTCTATTACAGTGTATATGTAGGAATGCTAAAGGTAATTTCAATACCTTTTTAAAACTTTTTAAAGATCTTCTCAGAATATTTCAAGACCTCATCCCCACTTTAATTAGTATGAAGCCTTTAAGTAAAAAAAAAGTTGTCAATAACCAGTTGAAGTTAAATAAATCAATGGGGCACAACCAAGCAACAAAACTCAGAAAAGCTCGTAAGAAACAAAGCTTGAAAGAATAAACTATGTGGTTGTTTTCAGCGACTAGCTTCAGCCACTGTTTAAACTCATCTTTCTCCAACCAGGAGTACGTAAACTTACATTTTCCCTTTTTTCCGTGTGTTTCGCTCTATGGTTTCGCCACATGTGGGGTGTGTCACATCACCTTCCCAGGTTTGTTCCAATTACGTGACATCACCTGGAAGGTGGAGTTTGGCCGGACGCGCCTCGGCCTGAACCAATCGGGTGGATCGAGCACGCCATTGTTAATATTAGGCAGAAAATATATTTATATAGGAATATATACTTTGGACAATGCCTTGGACAACCTTTTAAGAGCCTTCATTTTCTCATCATTTATTTATCAACTTTTAATACTTTTTAAGACCCAGCAGACACCCTGTATTAATTGTTCTTTTAATATTGTTGAATTAAAAATATCTCTTTTTTTAACATGTTATTTACTCTAAATCAGAATTTTCAGAACCATTACTCCAGTATTTAGTCCTACAAGATCTAATTTGCTGATGTGGTGCTAACATTTCTGTTTATTACAGTAGGCCACAGCCACATCACCCTGCTACCCAAGACCGGTTACTCACTGAAGCTAAGCAGGAATGAGCCTGGTCAGTACCTGAATGGGAGATCAACTAGATTGCTGTTGGAAGTGGTGTTAGTGAGGCCAGCACAGGGCGCACAAGCTGCAGTCTGTGCGAGTCTTAATGCCCCAGTAAAAGTGAAGAGGACACTTTACTGTCAGTGGGCGCCATCTTTAGATGAGACAATAAACCGGAGTCTTGACTCTCTGTGGTCATTAAAAACTCAAAGGCACTTCTCATATAGAGTAGGGGTGTAACCCAGGTGTCCCTCCATTAGCCCTTACCAATCATAGCCTAGCAATCATCCCCATCTACTGAATTACCTCCATCACTGTCTCACCACTTCACCTATAGCTTGTGCCTGTGGCTGTGGTCACATCATCCATGTGGATGCTGCACACTGGTGGTGGTGTGGAGAGACCCCCCTCATGATTGAGAAGCGCTTTGGGTGTATGGCCATACACTATAAATGTACTATATCAGTATTGAACACAGTGTTGCTTATTATTTCAGGGGAAACCATGAAATACATTTTTTTTTTCAGAATAATTTACTGAAGCCATTTTAATATTACCAATGTCTTTACTGTCATTTTTTGTCAACTCAAATGCATTATACAGGCTCATAGCCTGGGGGGATTTGGGTGGTTCGAAAGACCCACCCTGACTGACAAAGGTCAAGAATTTGTCCCATACATGAGCTCATTTGTCCTATTTTTATTACTATGCCATCATAAATTGTAAAAAATAATCTATCAAAAAAGGCTTTAACACCAAGCAAAAATTGTGTTGGCTGTTGTGTTAGTGGGACTGAGGAAAGTTGAATGTGTGGGCCAGTTTGCTATTGAAATGAATGATATATAAATGGGCTACAGTTTTTAATTTAAAACTTTAACAGATTCCAATTTTTTCTAATGATATAATTGATGTATATATGATGTAAAGGATAATTGATGGAAATCTTTAGGAAATGTTTTTGGTACATAAAAAATGTGGTTATGATGAGCATCCAACAAGCTAATGCAGCAAAAATAGTGCTTAAAATGTCACTAAAAGGCAACCTATTTAAACATCATAATTAAATAGAAAAAGAAGCGAATAACTGCAGGAAAAAAGAACCACCTCTGACCAGACTGGCTACGGGCCTGTTATAGCTGAATAAATATTCATACAACCCTCCTCTCCCTCATCATGGAGGATTTTTTTCCAGCTACCACCACTAGATGGCAATAGTCATTCACCTTCCTGCATTATAACATCTTGAAACAGAAAATGTCTACTCTGATTTACTTCTATAGTTCTTTCATCTGCTTAATGAACAATTCAAATGACACTCAAGCTATGGTTGACAGGTCCAAGAGATTATATATCCAAATGACTGCTCAAAACCTGTCCAAAAGGAATGAAAACTAGCCCCATTTCTTTCCCTTGTCCAGTCATGGTCAACTGCTAGATTCCATCAATGAGAAATGTTTACCATATCTTCTCTGATGGTTTGTGATACTACACATATTTGTAGATACAGTGTCTTTCCGCATACGTGACGAGCTATAAGATGATTTTACTTTGCTAACTTGCAGCAGTTTACCCACGATCACTATTCCTTGCCTTTATAAAAGAACTAAAAAACCTTTTTGGATGCCATGGATAAAATAAAAACAAAAAAAAATCCCTTACACTTATTAAATGTATTTATATTATATAACTTGCTATAGCCAATATCTGCTTTATATTGTTTTTTTATTTTAGTTTGGAGGATTTTTGTACACTTTACACTTTGTATATTTTTTTTGTTTTTTGTATATTATTTTTCTGGATTAAATATGGCGCTCTTGTGTTGATCCTTCCATGTTTGATACATAATTTGTAAAGCTGAAGGTCATTTTGTTGTATTTAGATTTTGTATTTTTCAATAAAATAAAAAAGTTGCAGAAGTTTTTGGGTTGCCAGGTATATATAACAAAATTAATGCCCTTTATGAAAGTATTCAGTTTTATTTATGTATTTGCAGCAAAATAAATATTTGCTGTGACATGGCATGTTACGAAAGCAGCCCCAAAAGAATGCGGTCCGCAACTTCAAATTCTTTCCTCACCACTGCATTTTCAAAAGAGAACAAACCTGTCAACACTGACTGCCATCTTATGTAAGCCCTACATCACGTGTCAAAACCAGTTCCTAGAAAGCTGCAGCACTGCACAGTTTAGTTCCAAGCCTGCTTCAACACACGAAAGCTGCAGTCACACTGCACTTTTCTCCCCACAGACTTCCATTCATACGCACGAGAATGCATCAGACCGGAAACGCAAGGTCATGTGTAGGCCCACACGGAATCTGCGTTTTCCGCAGAATTCCACAGATTATTGCAGATTTTTAGCCCATCATTTATTCTGTTTATTTAGTTTATTTAATTTATTTAGTTTTTTAACTAATTACAGTAGTATTATTGATTAATATGAAAATGTTCATTTGATTTATGTACAATACAGTTTGTAAAGTAATATTTTCTGTCTTTTAGTAGAGATATTCTCTTATATGAGAGACTTGTTTTGTTTACCAAATAAAGTGAATCTAATTAGATTTGCAATTTAAACATTAAATAAAATTTAAAAAGGTATTACTTTTTATTTCACTAAATAAGGTTTTAGTTACGATACTCCCAAAATAATTCCGCAGAAATCCGCAGATTTTTACCAAAATTCTCCGCAGAAATAGCAAAAAACGTCCGCAGATTCCGTCTGGCCCTGGTCATGCGGCAAGTTTTGCAGTCAGGTGCTTTGAAAAGTTTAAGCTTGGTGAACTCTGACCTGTGAAACCGCATCACTTTACTGCGTGAGACCAATCAAGGATCAAAACATGACCTCTCTGGACAGATATTTAAAACATGGACCATTCGCTCGCTATTTTAAATGTCTAATCATCTTCTTTAATCCCACCCTTTTTCGCAGCGCCGTACTACAGAATTTCGCATGCTCAAACATGTGACTGCGGTATTACCGGTAGGTTTCAAACAGAACTGAAGAACTCAATTAGTTTGATCAGCTGTGTTTAAATAGGGTTAGAACTAAACTGTGCAGAGCTGCAGCCCTCCAGGAACTGGATGTGACACCTGTGCCCAACAGCAATATAACAAACTGTAAACTGTTTGCCATTCTCCATAACACATGGTAAAAAAATAACTGATGAGAAATCAGTTTTATGTGAAACCCACCAGCAGGCTGAGGTTGAGCATGTGTCTAGTTGGAGACATTGAAGTTTCATCAAGCCGAGGCTTCGAAATTGGGCTCTGGCTGATTTCAGGATCATCATTCATGAGGTCAAGTGCTTCTATATACAAAAGACAAAAAAAAAGTTTTTTATGTATTACTTCACATTATCTACATGGAATCCTTCAATATAAATGAGCTATATTTAATAACTGGGTCTGCACACCTCTGATATGTTTCTCTGAAGATTGTGTTGGTGTTGAACTGGATGGAGGAGATGTGGACATCCACCAAAATGGCTGATCTACTCCTCCATCAGTCGTCTGGTGCTGCCTCTCCTCTCGACTCTGTGGCTTTCCGAAACGAAAGCGTTCAATGTACCTTGAAGAATGCAATTGCAAGATCAATGTCATTAAACAAAAAAAGTAACAAGGCATTACGGTAAACATTGCTTCGGAAAGAGTGTCTGAGGATGATGTGTGACCTGAATGCTTACTGAAAGTCCAGCAGCAGATGTAAAAATCTCATCCATTTTCTATGCTATTAAAAGTATCATCTTTTATTTTATCTTTGATGTTGTTTTGACATGATTTTACAGTAAGCCTGTCTATTTGTGAGGTAAATGCTGTATAAGTTGCCCTGTAGAGACAAATAAAGATATGAGACTGAGCAATTTTTTAAATGGTCATAAAAGCCTCTTATGCTTACCAAGGTTGTATTTGTTTAATCAAAATACAGTAAAATATATTTTAAAATAATATATCAGAATTTAACAAGTTTATTTTAAGTCAAAGCTGAACTGTCAGCAGATTTCAGTCTCCAGTTCTTCAGAAATCATCCTGATATGATGATTTGATTGATTATTGTAGAGTTGTACAGTTGTACAGCTTAATATTATTATAATAGATCTTTAAATGGAAAGTTTAGACATTTAGCATTTATTTTGAAGAGAAATAAATCATATAAATAAAAAATTAAAATAAAAGAAAGGGGAAGGTCTTCAATTTCATGCATATTACTCTTGTACTGGTTTCCCCGCACTAGTTATCGATCCAGTGTAGCATTCAGTGCAAAGTGCTGTTATACGTTTATAAATTCTCCATTGCCTGGCCCCTGAGTATATCTCACAGCTAAAAGGTGAATTACCGGTTTGTAAACATTCAGGATGCACGGACATCTAGGTTGCAGAAAAAAAATAGGAGTGCTAGCATTTACAGCAAGGGAATGACAGCCGATGCAATACAGAGTTTGTTGTTCTATTAGAGATAAGTTATATTGATTACATATTATATATATTATTTACATAATGCTTTCAGCATATTATAACAGCTTGTCACCCAGTGATAAGTACAGTTATTCTGCAAAATTAACGCTGAAGTGAGCGGTGTACATCTGACAGGTATATTTGCGATAGCACCCTCCCCCACAACACGACTTGTTTGCTACTGCAACAGGTCTTTTTTTTTTGCAACCGATATGCACGGTTAAACCCATGTGATGTCATGTGTGACGTAGGTTGGTAATTTGCCTATAAGTATACATCAGCCAGTGAGATCTCTTTGCTCTAAGAATTGACTTTATCTAACAAAAACAATCTGACGCTTGAAATGCCGAGGTGATAAAGCTTTTTCAGTAGCAGCTCCAAGACTTTGGAACAATCTCTCCTTCCACTCTCCTTAAGAACATCTCCTACTTTGGAGTCATGTATTTTGTGTTTTCATGTACAGCACTTTGGTACTCATTGTGGTTGGTGGAAAGTGCTCTAGAAATAAAATTGAGTGGAGTTGAGTTAATCAGGGTTTCTGAAGGTTTCATCAAATCAAATTTAAGACTTTTTAAGACCCTTTTAAGACCATTATGAATGAAATTTTAGACTTATACAGGGCTAAACACAAATTATTTTTTTAAATGGGGCAAAAAGAATTGGCAAAAAAATCTAATCTAGTCAACCACATATCTTAATGTGTCTAGTTGATTTTTTCAACATGTTTTTTAAATGACAGCATTGTCAAAATGAAGTTTATTAAAAAGAAAATTAGAAAAATATATTTGTTTGCTTTTTGTCCAGACTAATTGACTATAGCTCATATTCAACCTAATATGTTTCTGTTATGTCATGTAAAGGAATATATTGCTGTTATTATCATGAGAAGTTGTGTAAATGTTTTTAGTTTTAGGGAATTTAATTAGGAGAATTTGCTGTAAAATTTTCTAACAGCTGTTGTCAACTGTATATATTTGCAAAAAAAATTATATGAAAAAAATATATAGATGAATTGTTGGAGATTGGATGGGTGTCTTTTAAAATTAAAACCAGTTAAAAAAAAATTAAGACCCCCAACACAGTATTATGTGAAATTAAGACTTTTTAAGCCCTAAAATTGTGTTTTTTAAATTTTTAAGACATTAAAAATTATAAACATTTTAAGACCTCGTGGATACCCTGGTTAATACATTTAATGCATCATTGCTGAATAAAGGTAATGATTTCATTTTTTGTATATTTAAAAACGTCTTAATTTAAAATGTACTGTATTTTATGATATCCTCATCCTGCAAGAATAAACACAGTATTGTTTTCCATTTATTTAAATATCCTTTTAGGGTCAGATCATAAAGTTATATTTAAATGTTATATTGCCAACAGAGTCCAATGATTTGCTCTTACTTTGCAAGAACTGATGGTTCCTTGGATCCATTTGTCTCCGGTGCAACCATGTTTCTCATGGCTTTTGTTTGAGCTTCAGAGCAGGGAGAAATGTTAGTGTTGTCAGCAGAGCAACTGAGCTCAGTGGAAGGCCAAGACTCAGAGAAGCTCAGCTGGCATTCAGTAGATGAAGGAGGGCAGAGAACCACACTACGTGATCTTTCATGGAAGACCTGGTCCTCCTTTCTTAAAGATGCTGTCTGAGGAGGATCTGGAGGACTTGGTGGTTCAGCGAATCGGACTGGACTCAAGGCCTGTAATCGGCAATGCAAAAAGATAACATCACCAAGTGTTAATGTTAATTCATTTTGTAAATCTTATCAACATGAGTTTCAGTTTCCTGCTTTGATGGTGTAAAATATACAGATCACTTGTTAATGCTGTTCAGAAGAGGACTCTTTTAAACAAAAAACTAGTCTACTACAAAATAGGGCAGCACAATATATCGCTTCAGAGTTGATATTGCCATGTTGCAGGATCTGCAATGTCAAGTCCAGATTTTAGTTGACAAGACATTAAAGTTAAAACATAGTGGAATAATTTCCAATTTCAACCTAGAAGTGAAAGTTTATTACTGCCATTTGTTTTTAAGGCCTGTGACCCTTTAAGAATTCCCAGCAAATTGAAGCCATTTGGGCACAATGAAACACCCATACACACTTGCATTTATACACTCATACACTATGGCCAATTTAGCTTATTCAATTCCCTTTTACCACATGTCTTTGGACTGTGGTGGTAACCAGAGCACCCTGAGGAAACCCACGCGAACATGGGGAGAACATGCAAACTCCACACAGAAATGCCAACTGACTTAGCCGAGACTTGAACCAGTGACCTTCTTGCTGTGAGCCAAAAGTGCAACCCACTGGGCCACTGTGTTGCTGTGAGTTAGTTTTTTTATTTTTATTTAGTTCACACATTTTCAAGTTGTGTAAACAATACACGAACAACCTAATGTTTAATGTAAAACATTTTAATGTTTCGAAGGAGTTGTTGCAAAATGTATTAGTCACAGTTATGGGGCTTTGAAAAATGTTATGGAAAAGCAAATAAACTTTAAAAAAAAAGGTTATGTAGCAAATAAAACTGACAAAATGTTTTTTTTTTTCAATTGTGAAATAAATGCCCAATGTGACATATATGTAACATGAAAAATGTATTATAAACGCCCAATGTGACATACATGTAACATTACAGATCTTTCACATGGAGGGGTTGCATTTCCAAAACAACTGCAGAAACATGTTATAAGTGGTTCATTTGGTCTGTATTATATGCCCCATAATTTTTCTATAAGGAGAAATTGGTCCGGGTTCTTATGGGTTAAACATTTGTAGCAGGGCTGCACAATTATCGTTTCAGTATCGATATCGCAACATGTGTGTATGTAATAGTAACATCGCAGGATATGCAATGTTCAGTTGGGATTATAGTTGATCAACACAACAATTGAGAATACATGTGATTTGTGTCATTTGAGTCCTTGCAAAGTATAACCATAAAACAAACTGTATTATTTTCATGTGTTTTAAAGGCATTATAAAAAGAGTTTAAAGCATTTGGGCACAAAAAGTTACATTTGTAACCTTAATGAAGAATACTTTAACTGAATTAATACAATGAAGACTTTATAGTTTCTGTACCTGAATACTGTTTGACTCTCTGGAAAACCATAAAGTACTATTTATATTCACTTTTTCATTGCATAATTGTAATTATTATGCTTGCAATTTGTTTATTTATTTTTACATGAATTACACCCTCGCAAAATCATATAGCTTTTTAATTAATTGGATGTTATTGTTTTACTTTTTACTTGTCCAGGGACTGCAGGTGGAAAATAGCAATCCTGCTACAACCTGGCACAGTGCATCTTTCCTTTTTGAGGTTAATGCAATTTTTGTGCATTGTCCCTGTTAAATAAATAAGTTAATAAATTCATTCATTCATATAAAATCATGGATTCTTTACAAATAGAGCTGTTCAAGTTATCTGTTGAAATTGGATTTATATATCATTATATATTTCCAATACTGTGCTGCCCTACTAGAAAATTTGAAGTACTTATATTTTGTAGCAATATATTTAACGTATTGCTGTTAAAATAATAGAACAAAAACGCTAAACAAAGACTTAGAAATAAATATCAGTTGCCTATTTTGGGTGAAACCAGAAACACTTTCCAGTAAACTAATAAGTCACTGACTGATTGAAAAAAGATTATGTCTCAAGCAAAGTATAGTGAGTTACATATAGAGGTTGAAATGCATATACACAAATATGTAGCCAACTATTAAATCTGCAGCAAAGTGTATGTCCTTAAACATGATCAGAAACATACAAAGTAAAGTAACAATGAAAAGCCACGTCTCTCACCAGCCGTTTTTGTTGCTTTGGGATTTTTCTGGATCTAGATGGACTGTAGTGGCTCTTGGACAATGGAGGATCCGGTGGAAACGGATTATGTCTTGTGAAAACGGCTGCACCACTGAGAAAGTGTCAAAGTGTTTTACATTAGCCCGATGTAATCCAGTTTATTCTGACAGGATTTGACACCAAACCTACCTTGATCTCATAGCTTTGATGCAAATCTCTTCTGCTCAATAACAACAAAATGACGCAGGTTGAGAGTCGTCATACTGCAAGACCCATGAATCTAAATAAAGATATAAGTTAGCAGTTTAGTAATTACAGTGTTTGTATGTTGGGTGAGCTTGAACAGTAGTTTAACCGTCGCGTCATTACGTTGCCACGCAATTAAACGGTAATTTAGCCAACTATTAAATAAAATATACGCTATATAAAATGCCAAGACAATACATGTACGAATACAACCACGGCGTTTTTGTAAACTTATCGTATAGTATGATATTTCTCTAATAATTGTTTCCTTACTTTTCGAATCGTGTGACTGCGTAGTATCTTGGGAAATGTAGTCCGTAAACGGTTGTTTACATTGTTGTCGTTTTCAGTCGGCCAACCAATAGCGTTTCGTATTTAGTGATTGACAGCACTGAGAGCCAATAAGTGTGTCGCCTTCTCATCGGCTGCAGCCAATGACGAGGCGGGAATCTCGTTGCGCGCGGAAGAGGAATGTCGGATTTGTGACAGAAAGCGGTTCGTCGTCAGTCTCTCAGCTAAGGATTGTAAGGTGAATAGCGTGCTGTTTTGCGTTTATAAAGTACTACTACACAACCAGATGTTATTATTTCGAGTTTAATGTAGTTGTGAATGAATTTCTGAAGTCGACGAGGAGTTTAAAAGGGGTTAACTTGGGGTTTATGTGGTTTTTCAGCTAGCTAACGTCAGCTGTTTATATCATTGTAACATTAGCTGATTAGCAAAATAATACTGTCGTTGTTTTTACTTGTTTTATACTTCCTGTGCTGTTTCCTTCTTCTACTGGTTTCCGAAATGCGATATATGTATAATTTGGTGTGATAAATATAATAAATTGCAATGGCATATTAAATACATATGATACTTTTTAACCTAAACTTAAGATCTACATAACCTAGTTTTATTTACATTTTATGGTTAACTCATTTTATTTAAATTAGTCAAATGTTTTGATAGTTGTGGATATTAGAGTATGTTTAAGTTTATTTTAACCAATTTGCATTCTATTAGTCAGTTTTAACTATGGCATCTGAATGCCATCAAAAAGAAAATATGATTTGATATTCATTTTTTCGTTTAACATTTTTATTTATATTGGTCATCTAGTTAGTAGCACACCAGTAACATATTGAAGTTGGTTTTATATTTGTTCATTTTAGGACAATGACAACTTGTGACATGATCCAATATTGTTAACCACACTACTTTGTATATTCAGTATATTGCATGTGAGCTTGACTTCAAATCAATATTAGCAATGTTTAATAGACTATAAACAATGTTGTACTTTGGTAGTCATTAGCTGCTAATATGATTTCCCTGTTTAGAGTTTGAAAACAATGCTTTTCTGAAATTACATTAAGGAGAAACTCTGAATTTGTGAATATAAAACCAAATTAACATCAGTGAAATTGCAGGTAAAGAATACTGGTTGTGTGAGGATCACGTCGGAGGCACGATGTTACACTGTAAAATCAAGACTGAAAAAACAGGTGAGATTGTAAGCAAGGATTTGGTATTACATATCTATTTGTATCCCTCAAAAATATTATTATCTGTAATAAATAAGGTTCTTTTGCAGATGCTGGGGCTCGAAACCGGCTTGATGCGGTGTTACAAGGTCTGGTTGAGAGAAGTGACAGTGAGAGGTCAGTGCATTAGTGCAACACCAGACTTTAAAAGCTTCGTACAGTAACTGTGAAGCTACAAATGGACCACAGGCAATTAAAGCACATTATTGATGTTTTCGCTTTTGCTGCTGATTGAATAATTTGTCTTCATAAAAATTCAAACTGACATTTTTATGATATAATTTTACAGTGGTTTTCTTCCCCTCCCTCCCGCAACATTTGGACAAACTGTTGCTAAAATGCATGCAAAATAAGTGAAATACTAAAAGTGTATTATGTTGTAAATTATTAAAAATGTATTGCTCACAAATGAATAAAACCTAGGTGTTTAAAGTATTAAGGTTTTAAATGACAGTTAATTAGCTTTTTGAGGCTGCGCTCTAATGGTTTATTAGGGTCTTTGAATATGTCATCATCATCAAAAGTTTTTAGTTCTAAATATGCTTAAAGACCATTTTGAGGGATGTAATCAAAAACAATGGTCCAACGTATTTCCTGTTTTGCCTTTTTAATATCTATAGCTTCCCAAATTCCAAAAAGAAAGCCACATATTTATAAATAATGTTATGATCGCTGTTTTAACATAGTTATGATTGAATTGCCTCTTGTTACAGTTATGAAATAGTTTGATAACAAGCAGGAAATGTTATGGCAACAGTGTTTCCCAATGACATGACCACTTTGAAATGGTCTATAATTTAATAATATAGTAATACTTAATATTATAATAATTTATATATATATATATATATATATATATATATATATATATATATAGGGGTGTAACGATTTATCGTTGTATGATTTATTGCGATGAGAAAATGTCACAATATGCATCGTGGCGTTATGACGATTTGATTACGATATGACATCCGTTTTCTCTTATTAGTTAAGCTGTTTGCACGTGAGCTAAGTTCCACCTGCTGTCGCACGTGAGTTCAGATTGCAGCAGCAGTAATGTTAGCAGACCAAGATGAGTGGAGCTGAAATAGAGGATGGCCCATCCTCTCAAAATCAGACATTTGGCAACATGTCCAGGGCTCGAAATTGCGACCATTTTGGTCGCATATGCGCCCGGAAATTAATCTATGCGACCTCATAATATATCTGGGAGCATTAGTGCGACTGCAGATAATGGTTGTAGTGCGACCTGTTTTGATTTTTTGTAAAAACGTGCTGAATCGCTCTTTCAAGCCGCTATATTGGTTCATATTAGCTGTCAATCACTCAAGGTATTCAGCTGTCAGATGACAGGGAAGGAGCTTTTATGACCACGGGAAATGCAAACGGCTGAAGAGTAAAAACTTAAAGCACACAGGTTTGCAAACCCCACTTAAAGTTGAGGCGCAGATGAAAGCGATTATGACACGTCACGTGATGAATAATGATCCACCAGCTGAGATCAATCGAGTACGCGCTTCATGGAGAAGGTGCCCGAATCTCCATGCGTTGCATTCACTGCGTGTTCAGCGCAAATGTCCGCTAAAAGTCCAATCTAATACTGTACATATCATCGCCGAAGAAGCTCGCCTTTACTAAGTTTACACTGAAACTGCGGCTCATAACAAAGACCGGTATTGCGACGATGGTTAGCGCAAGAATCCTGCTCTGCCTGCTCATAAATTGGGTCGACTGACTCGCCTGCTTTCCACTAACACAGAAAAATGAAGATCAGCTCAGACTGAACCTTTAAATTGACACAAACTGAAACCAAAACTTTTAAAGAGTGATAGAAGTGAGACTTTCTTTCTTTTGTCTATTCTTTTTTGAGGTGTATATTATTATTTTTTATTTATTTACTGATGACTGCTTTGCAGCTTTCATCATTAAATTGAATGATTTATTATAATCTTTTGTTTGTTTTGTAGCAGAAATATTATTTATTAAATTGACATGCATATAAAAACAGCAGTACAAAATAAATATTTCTTACTGCAATGCTTCATTTTTGTTTGATGCAAACTATACAATTATTTTTTATAAAGTAAGTAAAGACTTTTTATAGCAGATAACCTACATTCATGCACATTCAATGCAGTATCATAATGAGAAATGGAATTCATTGTTACTATTATTGTCATTTTCATTATTATTAATATTCTATAATTATTAGACATTCATTTTGGAATTATTGCACACAAATATCAATGTCTTCGCAGCATTAGTTAGATAGTTGCTTCTGGTTTTTGTCAGTCCTATTAATGTTGTTTTAAAATACAATAAATCCTTTAAAAAAAAATATTTGCAGCGGTGCTCATTCATTTTTGGTGGGTGCTCCTAAATTTTTTCTGGTGCTCCTAAAAATTTTTTGGTGCTCCTAAATATTTGAAGTTGGGAGCACCGGTGCTACCAAGTAAAAAAGTTAATTTCGAGCCCTGATGTCAGTTGTACAGTCATTGCTTTAGACTCGTCCGCTTTTTGACACGCATACTGGGTCAAACATCTTAAGTTTTAAAGTCTTCACAGTGATTTACATACTTTGCACAGCGACATGGATACCTCCTAATGGTGTTGAAAGAGTCACATACTGTATTTATAAGGTACAATTCACCCTAAAATATCATTCTGTCTTCATATAATGATGTATTGGCGGCCGCAATTTCACACATGACGTGAGCTGACCGTGAACTGTTACTACAGAGGGCGGAATATGATAGACGCGCGCGTATGGCAAGCCGTTTTAGCATATAAACCTTTGTTCTGACTATCCATAAATATATTTAGAGATATCTCTAATTATATTTTGACTAGTCATAATTATAATTCGACTAGTCAGAATGACAATTAGAGATATCTGCAATTACAATTGTACTAGTACGAAATCAGATTGGAGATATCTGCAAATATATTATGACTTGTCATATTCCTCCATTGACTTCCATTGAAAAATATTTGCAGATATCTCTAAATGAGTTTTGACTAGTCACAATTGTAATTAGAGATATCTCTAAATGAATTTAATTAAATATGAATTAAATACCTGGAAATTTGGATTTTTTTTGCACACACAAGAAACGCAAGTGACCAAGCAAAGCCTTAAGCACTTAATGTTAAATTCAATTGAATAGAAAGCTTTTTTTTTTTGCACCTTTACTTAAATTGTTCCTTAATTTTGTCTCTGTCATTTCAATAATATTTTTTAAGAAGTTTTTAAATTGTATTATTTTCCAGAGACAGGCCTGTTTAATTTATTTTCTTAAAGAAGGTTGAGTTTAACAAGATGAAACAAAAGAAATACATAAAAAATAGTTTACTTGGTAAAATTTGCATTTCAGTTTAATTTTCAATTTTTATTCCAAATATCGTGATACATATCGAATCGTGAACATTATATCGTAATAGACATCGTATCGTGAGCTGAGTGTATCGTTACACCCCTATATATATATATATATATATATATATATATATATATATATATATATATATATATATTTCAGTGGGACTCTCTTTAAATTATGGTAAAACAAATGTATGATGGGGGTCATCAGTTTGAATTAGACATACATATTCTAATGTATGATAGAAATAAGTCTTTTGTTGTTTTTGTGCTGAAAAAGGTTAACAGTAAATATTCTAATACATATTCTTTTTTTGTTTTTGACCCATATATAATATTATTGATTAATTTAGATGCCTAGACACATATTATTTATATTATACACAATATAGGATTATGTATTATACATTTTGCATACAGTATACTCATGT